TCCTTCCACAATAGATAGCCAGATGTAAGGCAATGTCTTAGTAATACTGCATATTCTGCTGGCATGTTATTTTCCTCTAGTTTCCTAGTTATAATTGAGATGCAGTCTTCAACAGGTAGGCATGTAAATAGAGACTGAACATCAAAACTGACCATGGTTTCATTGTCAGTAAGATGTAGGTCTTTTATCTCACTGACAAAATGGTATGAATCCTTAGTGTGTGCTCTTGTGTGTCCTCTGAGTGGTGATAATATTTTAGCTAAGTATTGAGCCAATCTGTAAGTTGGCGAATCAATCTGACTCACTATTGGACGTAATGGAGCATTCGGTTTGTGTATCTTTGGTAACCCATACAACTTCGGTGGTTTGGCACAGGAAGGTATTATCGAATTAACGTCCAGATTCAATTTTTCGGAGTATTTCTTAATTAGATCGCTAGTTGTTTTAAGCGTATTAGTTGTAGGGTCTGTTTTGACCTTTCGATAAGTAGTTTCATCCGACAAAAGTTGTTGTATTTTAAAATTGTAATCTGACGTATCAATTATAACCGTAGAATTACCTTTATCTGCGCGGAGAATCGTAAGCTCTGGTCTGTTGCGTAAGTTTTTCAACGCGTTAAATTCATTTTTGGGGAGATTTAATTTCGGCGCTGAACTTCGACGTAACATAGACGAGATGTCTTGACGTATGGCCTCTAAATCTTCATTACCAATATTATTTTTATACAGACAGTCCTCAACACTACAGATAATGTCCTCATACGGTATTTTTCGCGGTGCTATTGCGAAATTAATACCTTTTTCTAAAACTTTTATTGTGGCGTCGTCCAGTGTTTGTTTTGATAAGTTGTAGACAGCGCGTTGTTTATGATTCGTGTCTGTGGTCCACGATTTCGTATGTTGGACATTTGATTTAGTTGTTCATTTATGGTATTTATCAATGTGTTTATTTTTGCATTCATTGTATTTAGTTGTTTCGCGTTTATCTAAAGTTTCCATGCAATTTTTATAATCAAATGTCGATAAAACTGTCTTTAATGGACTGAACACTGGACGAATTGTCTATGGTTTTGTTTATGAAATATAGATCTGTACGTTTTTGCTGAATCACCGTTATTAACAACTTTTTACTAGCCTGATTTAAGATCTTGGCGCTTCCTCGAATGTCTTTTTTAGTGGATATCTTGACACACGTAGGAATGAGATTATGATCTCTGCATCTCTTCAAGAAATTTAAAGCTGTTATGTATCTTGCGCGCTTGGTCTTTAGATCTTCTAATCGGCGTATTTTATTTGCTATTTCCAGTCCGTACTGGTTAACATAATGATTTCTTATATTTACGCGAACATTGCACATGATTAAAACTACTTTTACGGATTTTATCGCGTTTATTTTTACTTTTTATTTTTAATTCCTAACTACTACTAACTCTAACCCTCCTTCTTCTTCCTAACACTAAGGATTCATACCATTTTGTCAGTGAGATAAAAGACCTACATCTTACTGACAATGAAACCATGGTCAGTTTTGATGTTCAGTCTCTATTTACATGCCTACCTGTTGAAGACTGCATCTCAATTATAACTAGGAAACTAGAGGAAAATAACATGCCAGCAGAATATGCAGTATTACTAAGACATTGCCTTACATCTGGCTATCTATTGTGGAAGGAAGAGTTTTACAAGCAAGTAGATGGTGTGGCGATGGGCTCACCTGTATCTCCCATTGTCGCCGATATATTCATGGAAGACTTTGAGGAGAAAGCCCTCCTTACTGCGCCCGTTACACCAAGGATCTACAAGCGGTACGTAGACGATACTTTCACAATTTTACCATCAGACAAAGTAACTGCATTTTTAGAACATCTTAATTCCATAAACGCTAAAATTCAATTTACTATGGAGTTAGAGGCAAATAATTCCTTACCTTTCCTAGATGTGTTAGTCATCCGAAATCCTAATAACACCATTGGTCACACTGTGTATAGGAAAAAGACCCATACAAACCGATATTTAAACGGTGAATCTCACCACCATCCTTCACAGTTAGCTACCGTGGGCAAATCTTTGTTACAGAGAGCACGAGGGATCTGTGACAGCAAACACCTGGCCACCGAGCTTCAGCACGTCAAGCAAGTTCTGCACGACAACAAGCTTCGGGTCCCGCGCCTACGTCACAGTGACCGAGTGAAGCCGGCCACAGTCGAGCGTGTGCCTGCTGTACTACCATATGTCAGAGGTGTCACAGACAAGATTGGCTTTATCTTGAAGCGAGCTTCTATTAGAACATTCTACAAGCCGCCGAAGAAGATTAGTCAGTTCCTACCATCCGTCAAGTGTCATATTCCTCTACAAGATGCAGGAGTGTACAAGCTTGATTGTGAATGTGGTCTCTCTTATATAGGACAAACCAAAAGATCAATTAGGACCCGCGTAAAAGAACATATAGCTGATGTGAAGCATCAACGTTCCGGGAAGTCTGCAGTTTGTGATCATATCCTAGACGGCCCCAACCATTACATCAGATTTGATAGACCACAAATCCTCGCGAAAGAACACCGATTCCTACCAAGGATGATACGTGAGGCTATTGAAATTAAAAAACATCCTAATTTCAATAGAGAAGGAGGCTGGGTACTACCACCTGCTTGGGATCCTATAATCAATAAAATTAAAACTAAACCCAAGCATACCACTGCAAGACCTCAGGCCATAGTCAGTTCATTTTGCATAGATCGGACCATAAACAATAATTAAAAAAGCTGAAGGTACTCCGGGTTTAACAATGACATCGGGACGTCAGTCATCTCAGTCCCCCCGTGACCATGGGTGCTGGAAAGCGCCCGAAACGTCGGGAATTAAAAATAAAAAGTAAAAATAAACGCGATAAAATCCGTAAAAGTAGTTTTAATCATGTGCAATGTTCGCGTAAATATAAGAAATCATTAAATATAATTTATTAACCAGGATGCTATGATTTACTTTGTCAAAAACTTTCGAAAAATCTGTATAGATGGCGTCAACTTGTAAACCTTGATCTACTTTTTCTTTTAATTCTGAAGTGAAAAGAATAAGATTAGTGTTGGTCAACCTCCTTGACATAAAACCATGCTGATTTTCGTTGATGTATTTTTGAGTATGCCGATAAATTACAGAGTGAACTAATGATTCAAATACTTTTGGTATTGCTTATAAGATAGAAATCGGACGGTAGTTAACTACTACGTCTTTTTCTCCATTCTTAAATATAGGGACTACTTTTGCTAGTTGCTATTCATTGGGGAATATGCCCATTTTGAGAGATCGATTGTAAAGAAAAGTTAGCGGAAAAGTCAACGCATCTGCACAGTTTAATAAAAGTAGTGGGTGTATATTATCTGGGCCTACTCCCTTTGTGACATCTAGCTTTTTCTGTTTTTTTTTTTTGACATCTTCCGGTCTAAATTGAATTTCCCCGATAACATCAAAGGAATTAGCTATTAGTCCAGTGTATTTACACTATTTTTTTAAATTGTTATCATTAAGATCTCTTTCATATGTTGAAGAAAAATGAGATGCAAACATGTCCACTATTAGCTTTGTATCTGATGATTTATTGTCTTTGAAGGTCATGGTATTAGGATATAATGAGCAATTCTTTCGTAGATTTTTGATATATCTCCAAAATAGTTTGGGTTGGTTTTAATATCTGTCTCTATTGTATTTATGTATTTAATATAGCACTCCTTTATTAGCCTTTTACAGTTTTGTCTTAAATATTCAAATTCTATTTGATCTAATGGAATTTTATACTTTTTAATTTTTTTATGGTATCTATATTTTTGTCTTAAAAGTTTGATTAAATGGGATGAGTACCACACAGGATAAGGCCCACGGTCGGCTTTAGTCATAGGAATATGCTTTTCAATAGCATAGTTTAGCAGTTCATAGAATCTTTTTACCATTTCATTAAGATTATTACAAGAACTAAATTCATTCTCCCATGACACCGATTCCAGGTAAGTATTTATAGCTTTATAGTTACCTTTATAAAATTACGTTTGGTAAGATGTACTTTTCTATTACTTTCTAATAAGATTTTCATTTTAATTACAAGAGGAGGATGAAACTTGTGAATATTTCTTACTGGATTTTGTGTTTCGACGATATTCAAGACTTCTTTATTGCAAAGTATCAAATCTAATGTACGATTTTTTATTTTTGTTACATAGTTAAATTGATTTAAGTTATTGAGATTTATAAAATCAACAAATTTACATAAGAACTCATTATTACCGCACTTTCATGGTAGCATATGATTAAAGATGTCGTTTCTATGATTGCATAGCCAAGTTATTCCACTTAAATTGAAATCACCGGCAATGAGTATGCTTTCTCTATCACTTCGGTAACCCAGTATTCCATTTGCTTTATCTATAAAAATATCTAAAGTATCTTTAGTGACTGGAGGTGGTAAATACACAGCGTATAATGCTATTGTATTTGGATTTTTGGTAGAGTTAGATGTATCCGACACCCAAATATCTTCACAATCAGTTACCCACTCTACGATACGCCTTGACAGGAGTCGTTCGGATACAGCAATAAGCACGCCCCCGCCTTTTTTAGCCCTGATAGAGGAGAGGTTTCACGATCTCGTCTGTACACTGCATAGCCACTGGCAAAGATTTCAGTGTCGTAGCAACTGTTATTAAGCCAAGTTTCTGTGAATATATAAACATCGTATTTATTATTAATAATATGTTGACGTACCTCGACCACATTTGTGTTTAAGCCTCTTACATTTTGATAAATGATATGTTCAAATGATCTAACAACATACAGGTTACATAAACAAAATAATTTAGATAAACAATAAAACACCTTTATACACTAAGTTTGCTATGACAGCTATTTTAGTTGAGACAGTTCTTGGATGGTCTTTATTAATTTGTACTCAGATGTTTCATAAATATTCATCCTCCCTTGACCCAGACCAATTTGTAGTTGAGTTATTTTGCCTTACATCTCGCTGCAGCATGTACTTATTTCCTTTTGGGTGGTTGACAGATGCTCCATGCCAAAGACTGACTGCTTCTCTCCGCCAATGCCAAGATGACTACTTTTAAGCTTTTCACTTTGACTCTTAGCTGTTTTGATAACTATGTTAAAAAGTAATTACGTATTCTTGGGGAACCAAATTTTATTACAACAGATCTAGGGCGTCGGCTATCTTTATTTACTTTAGCTACTCTCGTGCACAGATGAATATCTGATTCTTCCAACTTGCAGTTAATTGTGTTGGCAACGCTATTTCCGATTTATGTTCAGGTATATTTTGTATTTCAAGATAGCTAGGCCTTGAATAGATAGGCTGTTCGAGTCGTGTAAGTCTGTAGTTAAGGTTGATGATTGTACTTCGTAGTGTTGTATTTTCATTAATTTTCTTACAATTGGATTGTACTTCGTTTTGAATATGTTCCAGTTGACTTTCGACTTTGAACTTCCTTTGTTTTTACCTCTATCTGTTTAATTATCTTGGTTTTGAAACTGTCGAAAATACTTTCTAACTCTTCTCTAACAATTTGCCGTATATTTTCGGCGGATACTTCCAACTTTTGTACTGTAGTTTTCATTTGTTTGGAATTCCTCACTATCCGATTCAAGTTGACTTGTAGTTTCTTTAATTGGCGTGTCACGTGTGACAAGACCATTTAATTTGAATTCCTCTGGTAACTCTTTTAATTGTTTTTTTTTATATTGACACAGTTAAGATGATATTTGATTTTACAGGAGTAACAGCTTAATGATATCCCGGACGTCAGCCTGAGCGAGATTAGAATGGCTCTCCAGCACCTTAAAAACGGCACGGCCCCAGGCGAGGATGGAATTACAGCGGAGCTTCTGAAAGCGGGTGGAACACCGGTACTTGAAGTCCTTCAGAAGCTCTTCAATTCCGTCCTCCATGGTGGCACTATTCCGGAGGCGTGGAGCAGAAGTGTGGTAGTCTTGTTCTTTAAGAAAGGCGACAACGCTCTCTTGAAGAACTACAGACCGATTTCCCTTCTGAGCCGCGTCTACGTGCTGTTTTCGAGAGTCATTACGAATCGTCTCGCACGCAGACTCGATGACTTCCAGCCTCCCGAACAAGCCGGTTTCCGAAAAGGCTTCAGTACCATAGATCACATACATACCCTGCGGCAGATTGTACAGAAGACCGAAGAGTACAATCTGCTACTTTGCCTGGCGTATGTGGACTATGAGAAAGCCTTTGATTCCGTCGAAATTTGGGCGGTGCTACGGTCCCTTCAGCGGTGCCAAGTTGACTGTCGGTATATCGAAGTGCTGAAGAGTTTGTACAGTAGGGCTACGATGGCTATCCGAGTACAGAACCAGAGTTCGAAACCTATCCAACTGCAGAGAGGTGTAAAACAGGGTGACGTTATATCCCCGAAACTCTTCACCGCTGCGTTGGAAGACGTTTTCAAGCTACTTGACTGGAAAGGATACAGTATTAACATCAATGGCGAATACATCACTCACCTTCGATTTGCCGACGATATAGTCCTTATGGCAGAATCGCTGGAGGACCTTAGCACTATGCTCAATGACCTCAATAGTGTCTCCCAACGGATAGGTCTTAAGATTAACATGGACAAAACAAAGATCATGTTTAATGTCCATGTCACACCTATGCCGGTAGTTGTTGGGAGCACTATGCTCGAAGTTGTTGACGAGTACGTTTACCTGGGACAAATAGTCCGACTAGGTAAGTCCAACTTCGACCCGTCGAGGTCAATCGACGGATTCAACTCGGCTGGGCAGCGTTCGGGAAATTACGACACATCTTCTCGTCAGGTATACCTCAATCTCTGAAAACTAAAGAATACAACCAGTGCGTGTTGCCAGTGATGACTTACGGATCTGAGACGTGGTCCTTCACTGCTGGCCGTATGAGGACGCTCAAGGTCGCTCAGCGAGCTATGGAGAGGGCTATGCTCGGAGTTTCTCTGCGTGATAGACTCAGAAATGAGAATATCCGCAGTAAAACCAGAGTGACCGATATAGCCCAACGGATTAGTAAGCTGAAGTGGCAATGGGCTGGCCATATAGCTCGAAGAACCGATAACCGATGGGGAAGAAAAGTTCTCGAGTGGCAGCCTCGTACCGGTAGGCGCAGTGTAGGGCGACCCCCCCATAGGGGGAGTGACGACCTGGTAAGACACGCAGGAAGTCGATGGATGCAGGTGGCTCAGGACCGTGCTTTGTGGCATTACTTGGGGGAGGCCTACGTTCAGCAGCGGACTTGTGAAGGGCTGTAATGATGATGATGATGATGATGTTACAGCTTAATTTATTAGGTGATGACGTCTGTCTTTCGCAACATCCAAATTTCACTCTTGCTTTTGGCATAATTACTTAAATCAGGTAATAGTAGTGTTGGCGACGCGTGTATAAGAATATTTCAATTTATTGGTTAACCGATTACGAACAGCATCTAAAAACAAATTATCGAGCAATAATATTCTAATAAGAAAACACTTAGTTGAATCTTAAAGAAATATCGAATTAATAGTTTGAAGGTCTTGGATTCGATTCCCAGGCCGGACTAGTTTGTCGTTTTCTTATTAATATTTTCTTAATAAATTCATATAGGGAATTTTTAAGATATAAATTATGTTTCCGGGTTCAGTTCCCCGGTTGAAATCACCTTTCCAATAGTATTGTAATTTAAAGGAATATTAAAATAAAGTTAGAGACCAGGATTTGTTCCCCGGTCGAAACGATCACTTTGTGAAAAAATAGAATTAATGGAAATTAATTGCATAAGTATTATCTTATATAAGTTTGATTCGTTTTGTATGAGAATGAAATGTTTATTTTCAATGTTTGATGCATAAAATGTTTGTTTGTGTTATCTGATAAGGAACATGATAACTGATAAAAATCTAGTTAGAAATAATTTCCTACAATTTGGGAGTCGTGTAGAATCAGTTGTTCACCTAGTATTGGTTGATAGCCGTGTGTGCTAAATTTGCCATTTTTGCCGACAATTGACAGTCGTGTGAGAATTACTTGTTCAAATAGCGTGAGTTCATAGCCGCGCGTTAACTTAGGAGGTCAAAATAAGTAGAAATTGAAATATTTGCAAATTTCAGCAATTTATGTAAAATTGACTTGTAAAATATTTCAGATTGACTGTATGAACAAAATAAGTGAATTCTGTGTTATTTTCATGTGAAAATTCCTTTGGATTAGTGAAATACTGATAGTTTTGTGTAAGAAATTTAAAAGTGTTTTTAATAGTAAAATGTATAGGAAAAAAGTAAATTAAACTATTGTATTAGTTAAGATATTTATAATTTCAAGTGAAGAACATTGTTGCAACCTTATATGTTGGATATTTAAGAAATCTAACTTGGTGCATATGTTGTAAAATGGGCATATTTTGTTGAATAAATAAAAGGTTTTTTGTGATATAAAAATGTAATGTATATCATAGTATAGATATTTTTGTGCTATCTTTATAAATAAAATGTATAAATGTATGTTTTCTACAAATAAAGATATTGGGCAAACCGTGAGAGAGTGATAGTACAAATTGATGTAATTAAGTGGCGTAATCGCACAGAGGGCGCGGCTCTCTTTCGCGTATAGTTTTGTGGTAGCTCAGTAAACGAGTTTTCTTACAAATCGTTCGGGACCAGCAGTATATATAATAATCAAGAAAGAAAAATTGTATGGGGAAGTGATAGGGAAAGTAATTCCTCTCTCACGGAACGGTTTTAAGATAATTACTGTTTTATTCCCAAGGAATCCTTCACCTTTAAAAAGTAAAATACAGTGCACTGGTGTCGCTATTGCGGCACATATTGAAGAATTAAGGCGTTGGGACCGGGACGACTTCGGAAGACCCGTAATCCCCGCCTGAACCTATTTGAAGAAAAGGAAGAGGTCGACGCCCTTGTGTGTTACTCCGTTGCGGGGTTCACATACGTTGTTCCCGAACCCAACGTAGGTGTCATAGGAGGTTAGGAAATCCGCTGCTGAACCAGCCGGAACAAGCGACCTCCCTCCGTCTCTGGTTCCTTTTCAATTGGTCCTTTGAAGCGGGATTTAAGGAACCAGTTGTGCCTTTGAAGGCTCTTATCGTGACCAAGCAGGGCTTGGCATTTTTTCCTGTCGGGCAAGCGTGCTCGGCATTTTTTTTCCACTGGACGGCCAGTTGTTGGCATATCCTGTCGGACGACCATGTCCGACATTTCCTATCGGGTCATCAGGCAAGGGTGCAAGAAAGAAGAAGAAGCATCCACCGCTGCTGCTGCCAGGCGAGGGTGCTCGTGTGGGCACCTGACTGCATCGCGGCCGTAGGAGACGAGGCGTCACCGGCGACTGGGCGGCGAGCACAGCATACATCCCGACCCCCTAACGGTGCCAAACCGGTCGGGCTCTGGCACAACACCTTCGGGTGGAGCAGTTCTCTCGAGCGAGACTGCGCTTGCACTACTGGCTCGACTGTTTCGCCATATTCGTTGGCGGGACAGTTCCTAAACCTTTCCTCCATTCCATTCCTGCACGACTCCATCCCTGGACGGCTAACCACGGTAGGCCTCCGTCCAGGATTGATAGGGCTGATAGATCTATTAGGGTGGTAGTAGGGTTGTAGGGTTGGGAGATAAAGGGGGAGGGGTAGTGGGGTTAGGTTGGGGTGTAGAAGGGTTATAGATAAGGGGTTATAGGGACTGTAGGGACAGTTAGGGACCGTAGGCCAACAATCACCTTCCTGCAAGATGAAGAAGGCACAAGACCAGACAGAGAGGAGCGAAGGAACTAGGACAAGAACAGGGCTCTCAAGAAAGGTTAAAGAGGTGGAATCATCTGGAGCAACTACAGCTACTGCTCCGAGTGGGGCAACTCCTTCAAGTGGAGCCACCACCGATACGTCCACATGCACGTGGGACTCAGGGGCGTCCGTGGCAACGACAAGCAACAGGACGGACACCAGTGGTACGCAGACCAGCACCGCACAGAAATCCGTTATATCCAGGAGTGAAACGATAGTCGAAAAATTAGGTCAAGGGACCGAAGAAGCGGCATCGTTAAGAACAGTAATTGGGCACACTAGTGACAAAGGGTCAGAGAGAGTTAGTAGGTCATCGCG